ATGCAAACTACGTGCCATTAATACGAAATCTGCAAAAGAAAGTGACTATCCATGCTAGCAGCAGCAAAAATCCTGTATTACAATCTGAGAATCTGCTGATACATACAGAAGGAAGCTTTCCGTCGTCACCCGAGAAATTCTGGGAACCCGAGATAACAAATGCGGATCAATGGCTCGACGTCGAATTCGATCGACCTGAACCGGTTTATGGTGTGATTTTACAAGGTGCCGTAACCAAGGATAAGTTCGTAACCAGTTACAAGGTACTCTTCTCAGAGGACGGTCAAAGCTTCTCGTACACGCTCGATCATGAAAAACAACCGCGCGTATTCAGAGGACCTGCCGATAGAATCCAGTCCGTGAAGCAAATATTATATCGACCGATCGAAGCAAGAATTATTCGTATTAATCCGCTGACGTGGCATAACGGGATCGCTGTTAAAATAGAAGTGCTAGGTTGTAAGGATCATGTAACACCGACCATGATGATGACGACGATAACCGAACAACCGATAATAAAGACAACAATCCCCGAAAAGATTGTGAGACCGGTGTGCGAGGATTCAATGGGATTGGACAACGGGCTGATGGCTATTGAACAAATCTCGGTATCGAGCTCGCCACAGTTGATTCAAAATCTTCCGTTATCCTCGGAAGGAGTATGGCGTGCCACTTTAGACAATCCGCATCAGTATGTTGAGTTAGACTTTTTGGAGGCTCGAAATTTGACTGGAATCACGACCAAGGGAGGCGACAACGCTTGGACAATTGTATACAAAGTATTCTACAGCAATGACGGGCGTCACTGGAATCCAGTCATCGACGAAAATGGCAATGAGAAAGAATTTCTCGGCAATTTCGATGCGGAAAGCCGGCAAACAAACTTCTTCGAGAGACCGTTGCACGCGAGATTATTGAGAATACAACCTGTCAAATGGCACAATCATGTCGCATTAAAGGTTGAAATCCTCGGCTGCTATTTGGCGTATCCTGCATTAGAGATATCGGAAATCAAATCGACAACGACATCATCTTCGTCGTTCGAGCGAGAGTGCAATGTATGCGATGGAATCGATTGGACAATGTCGGACGACGAAGAACGCTGCAAATGCGAAGATCTTTATTGGTGGAATGGAGAATCATGCGTATCAAAACGGGAATGTCCCTGCGTGATTGGACATGTTTCTTACGCGGTAGGCAGCGTCTACGAGACGGAGGATTGTCAACAGTGCGTATGTGTCTTGGGTGGAACGTCCACGTGTTCACCGAAAAAATGCGGACCTTGTCTGGAACCGGGTTTACGATCCATCGTCAGCAAACTGTGCACTTGCCTATGTAAACCTTGTCCAACAGGCACGAGACATTGTCCTACAAGCGACGTGTGTATAAACGAGACCTCGTGGTGTAATGGTGTTCAAGACTGTCCGGATGACGAGAATGATTGTTTAGAAATAATCTCCACGACGCCTATCGCGGTTGAAGTTTCAGAAACAACAAGTACAATTGGTCTACAAGTTATAACGACTTTTGGCCCTATTCAAATTAATCCGTTACCATGCGAGGAACCACTTTGTCCACTTGGTTATAAAGTAGTCTTCAAACAATCATTCCAGCCGCAGGATAAATTGCATCACCATGTTAAAACAAATGTAAAATCCAAACATCGCAAAGGTTTTGGAAAGACGAAGGGATACAAGAAGCACTCGTTCCACGAGCGTCCGATGAAAAATCAAGATCATCAGTCAGCAGTGGAAAACATTCAATGTCCTGAGTTTATCTGCATGCCCAACAAGTTGCCGCCTGTTCTTCCCGGCAGCAAGAAGCCGGAGACATGTCCGGAGATATCGTGTCCACCGCAGTACGAAGTGGTGTTCGAGAGAACGAGCATGTACAAGAAACACAAGTGTCCCAAGTACGTGTGCCGACCATTGAGACCGCAGGAAGTGATCTGCAACGTCACCGGGAGAACGTTCAACACCTTCGATAACATGGAATATAAATATGACATTTGCAATCATATTCTAGCCCGCGACATGTATGGTAACGAGTGGTATATCACACTGGAGAAGCTGTGCCTTGACAAGCTTGGGCAGCGGCACTGCACTCGCATCCTAGTGATAATGCTAAACGAACGCGCAATCGTGCTCTATCCGAACCTGCAGGTGGATATCGACGGATATACCTTCACGGCCGAGCAGATCGCGCGTTTCGGAAATCGATTTCCCGGTTTCGAACTTTCGCGCACGGGCGATAGAATCATCTTCCTCTCGCATCGCTACGGTTTCTGGGTGATTTGGGACTCGAGTACCAACGTAAAGATTGGTGTCGTCGCGAAACTGTCTGGTCGTATAGATGGTCTATGCGGATACTTTGATGGCGATATCGCGAATGATCGCCAAACACCTGAGGGAACGCAGGCGAGAAGCACCATTCAGTTCGGGAACAGCTGGGCAATGGAAGATGCGGAAGAATGTGATCTACATGTGTGCCCGCACGACATCCAGGAACAGGCTTGGACAATTTGCAATTCCGTGAGAAGTCCGATGCTGCTGGATGCGTGCTCCGCGATCGTCGATCTTGACAGGTTAACAGATTTTATTAATTATTCATAAAAACTTACTATATATACATATAATTCAAATTATTACTAATATTAATTACCGCAGGTTTGTGTCTCGTTGCGTGGAGAGCGTGTGCTCCTGTTTGCGTTCTTCTAATAACTCTTATGAGGATTGCCGATGTCGCTTGCTAACGAGCTTCGTCGGCGAGTGCGAGGCTGCCGCCGATTCTGGCGCGAATTTATTGATAGATTGGAGAACCGTTTATGATTGTCCCGCGAGCTGTCCATCGCCGTTCGTTCATCGGGATTGCTTCCGCAGCAAATGCGAGATTACCTGCGATAATCTGCACGAGGTAGAACCGTGTCCACCGATGCGAGGTATCTGCTTTCCCGGTTGCTTCTGCCCGGACGGCCTGGTACGTCGAAACGATGCCGAATGCGTACCGCCGGCGCACTGTCTGGACTGCGTGTGCGATGGTCTTGGCGATGCCAAATTCATCGACTTCAATCGTAAAAACTTTAGATTCACCGGTAATTGCACTTATCTGCTATCAGGAAACGTGATGGAAAACGCGAAGAGTCAAAGGAACGGGACTCGCGCGTATCAGATTTTGATCACCAACGGGTATTGTGCCACCGGTATATGCACGGAGGTCATCACACTGCTTTACGACGAACACGTGGTTCAAATAAGACGTGCGGAATTATCGAAGGATCTGCAAGTATTGATCGACGATTCCCGAGTGGAAAGATTCCCATCTGACTACAAGTGGATCGTATTGGATCAAATGTTAACCGGAGATGTAACTCTGCTGGTACCATTCATCCAATTAGAGTTTGTCGCTTTTCGACAAAATTTCGCGTTTACCTTGAAACTACCTTCGCACATCTTCAGCGATGTTACCGAAGGTCTATGCGGTAATTGCAACGCCGACGCCGAGGATGGCTTTGAGAAACGCGATGGAGAGATCACGCGGGATGTCGACGAGTTTGGTAGATCCTGGTTGGTCGAGGATCTGCCGACGCAGTTGGGCCTCAGCGATCAGACGTGTTTCAGTAATCGCCAGCCTCAGTGCACGCCACCGCCAGTTGATGAAGATATTTGCAAGAAGCTTTTGGATTTACCACAATTTATGCAGTGCCACAACATCATTGATCCAAAACCATATATGGATTGCTGTTACGATGCATTATGCACTGGTGGAAACTATTGCGACAGCCTGGAAATGTATGCGAGAAAGTGTCTGGAAGCTGGTTTGTGTTCAGCTTGGAGAACCAATGAAATCTGTCCGTACGAGTGCCCTAAAGGTAAAATCTGATCTCTTAATTATTTTAATTGTACAATTTAATTGCACAAATATTTGTTGGTTAAAATAAAAGCAAAATTACACAGTATTTTGCTTTTTATTTAGTTTATAAAGTAATCTTTTTTTTACTAATGAAGATGATCATTATCGCGTCTTTAAAGAAATAAAACTTGCCATGTAGAGAAAGAAGCTTTAAAACATTTTTTTTAAATCTCAAATCAACTTAATCTTTGCTTAAAATAAAGTTTGACAGAAAATTGATTGATATTTTGCATTAACATAATACCAAATCTGTGTAAATATATTCCTTCAATTCAACAAATCTATTTTTTACTTAGATCTTGTCTATCAGCCATGCGGCTCTAGTTGCAAAGAAACATGCGATACTTTAAACAAATCGGACAATCCAAAGTGTGCATCCGGTCCTGTTGAAGGATGTTTCTGTCCAAAGGATTATGTATTCCACAATGATTCTTGTATATTGAAACATAACTGTTTTGTCTGTGACAAGGACGGTCATGTGCAGGGAGATATCTGGTATCCAGACAAATGTACCGAATGCAACTGTAACAATGGGGTTGTAAGTTGTCAGAAGACAGAGTGTCCTGTATTAGACACACTCTGCGAGGAAAATATGACACCTGTACTTGTCAATGGAACTGAGGAGAGATGTTGTGCCAAGTATTTATGCGGTGAGTTAACAGCATCATTAAAGAATATATTTCTAATATATGTCTTTGTTTATCGAAACTACCAATACAGAAAAGTTTTTGAGATGTGTAATTATACGGAGAGAGAAAACTTACTTATAAATTATCTTCTAATTGTATATATCCTTTCTTGTGTATATATATTTTTAAAATTAAATATAATGTATTAAAGTCACTTATTAATTTAACGATTTTTATGCAGCTCCAAAACCGACAGCTTTTACGATGTGTATTGAGTCACAAGAGCCAGAATGTGGTTTTGGCCAAATAATGAAAACGATTATCGACTCTGATGGATGTCATAAATTTATATGTCGTACGTATATGTACACATGATATCTTTTATAAATTATTTATCAGATTCTGTACGAAATCTTTCTAGTAAATTATACGACGTTGCGTGATTAATTTCAGAATGCCTACCTGTAAACGAGTGTCCTACTTTCGATGAATTTTCAAACGAAGTCGAGCAACTGCAGCCCGGTTTCGTACAAATGATGAATACATCTGGCTGCTGCCCGCGACCAAGTAAAATGTGTGATCCAGGAACTTGTCCTTCTGCAACAAAATGTCCAGATTATTATGATACTACAGCAATTATGCTCGCAGACAGTTGTTGTCCCACTTATGAATGCGGTATAATTTTCTCTTTTTCTAGCTACATATTAATATAACTTGTTAAATTGTGTGTGTGTGTGTGTGTGTGTGTGTGTGTGTGTGTGTGTGTGTGTGTGTGTGTGTGTGTGTGTGTGTGTGTGTGTGTGTGTGTGTGTGTGTGTGTGTGTGTGTGTGTGTGTGTGTGTGTGTGTGTGTGTGTGTGTGTGTGTGTGTGTGTGTGTGTGTGTGTGTGTGTGTGTGTGTGTGTGTGTGTGTGTGTGTGTGTGTGTGTGTGTGTGTGTGTGTGTGTGTGTGTGTGTGTGTGTGTGTGTGTGTGTGTGTGTGTGTGTGTGTGTGTGTGTGTGTGTGTGTGTGTGTGTGTGTGTGTGTGTGTGTGTGTGTGTGTGTGTGTGTGTGTGTGTGTGTGTGTGTGTGTGTGTGTGTGTGTGTGTGTGTGTGTGTGTGTGTGTGTGTGTGTGTGTGTGTGTGTGTGTGTGTGTGTGTGTGTGTGTGTGTGTGTGTGTGTGTGTGTGTGTGTGTGTGTGTGTGTGTGTGTGTGTGTGTGTGTGTGTGTGTGTGTGTGTGTGTGTGTGTGTGTGTGTGTGTGTGTGTGTGTGTGTGTGTGTGTGTGTGTGTGTGTGTGTGTGTGTGTGTGTGTGTGTGAGTCTGTATTATTATATTTTAAGTAATTCAAAACGATATGATACGAAAATCTCTTTAAGAAGTCGGTACCTTTTTAATAACATTTATTTAATAATATTTAATGATATTTATTGTGAAAAAGATATAACAAAAATATTGATCGATTATTTTATACTCGCATTAGTGCCTCCAAAAGACATTTGTCTTTATACAAACGATGAAGATCAAAGCAGGCAGCATGTAATAGCAAAACAGATTGGAGAGGAATGGAAGGACGGTAAATGCAAAACATGCCTATGCGAGAATTCGCATGACGGTCCTAAAGCAAATTGCTTAATCACGGAATGTCCAGATATGAATGCACATCCTGATATAGAAGATTATGTATTGGAAGAAATACTATTGGATGATAAATGCTGCCCAATATTTGAGCGTACTGCTTGCAGATGGAAAAACAAAATATATAATGTAAGAGAAAGTATAATAACATTTCGCATGCGACTGCAATCTTTTTAATATTATCGTTTAAAAGTATTTTTTAATATCACACGTTATAGGTTGGCGAAAATTGGAAGCCTAATGTCAAAGATGCTTGTCTTTCGATGTACTGTGGCAAAGATTTAAGTAGTGTTCAAGTATTAACTAAGATCCAAGAATGTAATTCTGTATGTGACTATGGTTACACATATCAAGCGCCTAATGACACTACTGTTAATTGTTGTGGGACGTGTGTCCAAGTTGCATGCATTGTAGAAGGCATACTTAAAAATGTGGGAGAGCAATGGTACTCGGATGATCATTGCGTAACATACTTTTGTGAATCAGCGAATGGAAGTGTAAGATTATTAATATAATTATTTAAATACACATTGACTAATCGATGAAATTGTGAATGTTTTGGTGTAACTAATATTCATTTTTAGGTGTATATACAAGCAAATACCGAAATTTGTCCAGAAATCGATCCGCAATTAGAATCAGAGTACGAGGTGGAAGAGGGTAAAATTCCGGAGAAGTGTTGTCCCGAATACGTTAAAACGGCTTGTCGTAGCGATGGACAAATATATAAAACTGGAGAAAGATGGAGATCTCTCGCGGATAAATGCGTCATCGAGACATGCGTTGGACCGAATATAACAAAGCACAAAGAGATTGAAGTGTGTTCAACACAATGTGCTCCAGTAAGGATATTTTATCATGTACACTAAATGACGTTTTTACATATTCAAATTGATGTATCATTAACATTGTACTGGTCAAATTCTAAGGGATGGTCTTATCGAGAATCAGAAGATGATAAATGTTGCGGAGAATGCAAACAAGCGTTTTGTGTATTTGAAGATACTTTATACCCACCTGGCACGACATGGTCGTCCGATGATAACTGTACTACTTATACATGCATGGAAAAAGATGGACAAGTAAGTTCGTTCCTAGGAAAAATAAATATTTTCATATTAGTTGGATGCGTTTTTCAGAAATTTGAATATATCATCTCTTTTTCAGAAATTAGACATATCATCTCTATTATATAGCAAATATATATATATATATATATATGCAACGAGCTGCTGAATCAATTTATTATGATCAATGTTGCAAACGATGTAATTTGAGCATCCTTAATATAGAAAAACAGATTAACAGTAAGTGTATAGAGAGAAAACGAGTGTTTTACATATTTGTAGTATATTCCTATCTTTTTTTGAAGTGTTTACTAATGTTCTTTATGATTGTTTTTTAGGAACATGCAAGACAGTTTTTGTGGATGCAAACAATACTATAGGTATGCTGGTTGCAAATCATCCTTTACATGGGAAATGTAAAAATTTAGATGTCATTGAGGGTATTAAACAATGCAGTGGAACATGTCAATCTTCAACATTTTTCAATAGCGGTAACAATACATACAAAATCTTTTTGCGATGCTTTGTTGCCACAATGATGAATTTGATTCATTTTCTTTTTTTATACAGAAAGTTGGAATCAAGTGAGTAACTGTTATTGTTGTCAAGCAAAGGAGTACATTGGTATCATTGTCAACTTAATGTGCGAAGATGGCAGAAGATTAAAAAAGCAACTAGCAATACCAAATTCTTGTTCTTGCCAAAGTTGCGCTTCTACAGACATTAAAAATGAAAATAGAAAAACAAAGAGCAAAGGTTAATCTGCAAAGACTGTTTCTCAACTATACATTTACTCTTTATTCATATATCTTAATAATGAAATATTTTTGTATTCCAAAATATCAAAAAGATAATGTAAGAGAGTATGTAATATATGATATACAATGAGAGAAAATTGAAATCATCTGTCTAAAATTTGTTGAAGAAAATATAAGATCTTTAAAATGAACATTTTTATTTAAAAGCATATATGTATATATAGAATATACATACTTTTGTTCATATCTGATTAAGTAAAACTTCTTAGCACTAGAGAAAGATAAGCTCTTCAGCAGAGTGAATGATGAAAAAAACGCTATGTTCACCTTTGAAACTTTTATATTTTCCTATATTTCATTTCAACAAATTTCAAATTGAAATTTTAAGAGAATATTTACGAAAGATTAAAAATGAAAAAAATGTAATTGAAAAATCTATTTTTGATTTTCTTCTTGCACTTCTCTAGGATGCGTGTACTTCTTTAACATCTATAATTTTTCTTTTATTGCAATTACGCGAATAATATCCTAGCATCTTCCCGACCGCAGCCTCTGTCTTGATCTCTTGATTCTCTCTGCACACCTCGCAGCTAAAATGCGCATTAAGCCCGTATCAGACTACGTATTCAAGATTGAAATTTGACCAATCAGGATAAAAGGAACTAAAATTTCCTTGTCCTGATTGGTCAAATTTCAATCTCAATGCATGGTCTGATACGGGCTTTACATCCTACCGGTATTGATACCAGATTTGAGACGCGGGCAACATGCAATCGTAGTGGAGGGTATACGCACACAAGAGGATGCGCAGAGGTACGATATCCAATGGCCGCGTTCGGCAGAGAAAGCGCTGTTATTGTCTTGTCAACACTCGACGTTGATTTGTTGGTTCTAAAAGTAAGAGCCAATCACGTTCGATTGCTACTGAGCGGTTTTCTCTGCTGAACGCGCCCATTGGATATCGCCTATCGCTATCGCTTAGCATTATGCGATAGGCTTCATGTTTTAAAACCATATGTATATACATAACCAAATAATTTTTAAGAAATAAAATCAAAGTTTATACTTTATGAGAAAGAGGAAAAGTGAAAGGTGAAAGAGAGTACGGTGCTGTGTTACAGACGATTATCCGTAAGAGAAGAAGAGAGGAAGATATCACTTATATTTCTACTTATCTTTACGGTATATACAAGGATTCAGTGGAATAGACACATTACATGTGAAATAAACATATAGATGACTTAGGAGAATCTTAATTTGCGAAACTGTAGTCACACTTTAAATTCATAGATGATATATTCTCAATCTCTGATATCCGGCTATATTTTTTACATAATTTCGCGCGCACAGTTTCCAATATATTTATTTCCTATTCCTTGTCACGACTGATTTTACTCGCATTCAAATCTGAAAACAGATCAGAGGCGGTGCTGAAACCTGAAACTATTGAATCTATTGAATTTCAAGAAAGAGTTTGTGTATATCTTGTGATACCGCATCCATAAAGAAAAGGAAGAGAGTTTGCACCCTAGTGTATACAATGGTTATCTGCAAATATTATCGGCAAGGCAATTGCCGTTACGGGCAATATTGTCAATTCGAACACATAAATAATTTCGGTAAGACACTTATTAACAATATCTTTACTATATGGCATCATGAATAACATTTTGTTATCTTTATCCTCAAGCAGGCAATACCAAAACTGATCATAATGAGGATGACATTGTGTAAGTATTGCACCAAAATGCTGTAATTTATTCTGTAATGTAAGCTCAATTTATATTTTTTTCCATTTATGTATGTAATGTTAGTGTCACAGTAGCCAAAGAGGTACTTCTTGCGGAGAGAGGTGGACAATGGTTATTATCATGTTTTGGACCATTCAGAGACCGTCCCATCATACCAGGCATGGAGGATTTATCTCCAGACGAGGTTCGATGTGAGATATATGAGGCACAAAAAAGCGGCATGGTTGAACAAGCAGTTAGTAGAATTACATCTGTATATTTTTCAAACACAAAGGCATCTAAAGAATTCTTGAAGGATTGTTTTGACATCTTTGTCAACATCTAGTTACTTTGTAAGAATGCATGTTTTTTTTTTTATAATTTTTTAGATGTTAAATTATCTTTGCAAATTATTTTTAGAAACTAAATTTCCAACGATTGTGCCAAGATATGAAGGCGAAAAGAGAAGCGCTGAAGAATCCCACTCGAGAGACAATCACAATGTTGGTATGTCTTGAATAATTTTTTATATATAATCACTTTGATTAATCGATTAGAAGCTTTCAAAAGAATATAACAATGTGATTGTGTTTCAGAAAAAGATCTTGGGAAGCAGCCAAAAAGGTGAGTTGAATGTAAGTGGCAATATATCCAATAAATCATCTACTTTCTCCTTTACAGCTCCTCATTTGGGCCTAGTCAATACTAATACATCGACTAATAATGTGTTTGGAAATAAAACATTTGCCGTGCAAAATAATAATCCATTTGGAGGAGGAGGATTCACTTCCTCGAATAATACGTCGTCAATATTTGGAAAGACTAATAATAACTCAACGTCAGTGTTTGGTAATACAGCGACCTTTGGGAACAATCTCGGTGGATTCGCTACTGCGACAAATACCAACTCCTTCTTCGGTGGAACAACCAACACCTCGACATCGTTTAACGGTATACAGAATAATACGTCCACGTTCGGGACACCTCAGAATAATCCAATTTTTGGCGGATCGTCTCAAGCTGTGTTTGGCCAAAATAATAATGTGTTTGGCACTACGAATCAGCTCGGCAATGCATCTTCCACTTCGCTGTTCAACAATCCGATGACTTCGCAAGCAAACACTTCTCTATTTGGCGGAGCGACAACCACTACGCCCAACTTTTTCGGTAGCTCGTCATCATCCGGCTTACAGACAAACTCGGTTTTCGGAGCCTCTACCACCTCATCCGGTTCATCTTTTAACGGCGGTATATTCAACCAGCCGAAAACGCAGATTCCTGCGTTTGGCGGGGCGCCAGTTTTCGGCGGGGTAACTTCCAATTATGCCAATAATTCCAACGGCAATTCCATCTTCGGCGTCAATCAAACATTCGGCGCTACCACAGCGATACCCACGAGCGGTATCTTTGGCGGATCCACTGCCGTCGCGACACCAGCTTTCGGTGTATCCGCCTCTACGACAACGCCAGTTTTCGGTACGTCCATCGCCACCACAACAACGTCAGGTTTCGGTACGTCTGTTACTACAACGCCGGCCTTTGAGCTAAACCAACAGCACGGTAATAATACTTTTGGAACGACCGCATCTGCCCCGAATGTCTTTGGTGGTACGCAAAATACTGATGCCACCATGTCAGTAGGAAACGGTAATGCACCGTTCGGAACATCGATCACCGCTGGTCCGTTCGTTACCGTTAATTCGCAGCAATACGATTCTACAGGCGCGAGCTCAACGCCGTTTGCCGGCACGGGATTCGGCATAGCTGTCGCGAACAGTACATTCGGCACCACAGAAACGTCTTCCAATCCGATATTCGCGAACGCGGGAACTACTTTCGCAACCTCTAACGGAACAATTCCGAATTCTTCGTTTCCCACGTCGACGTTCGGCAATATTAACGCTTCCTCGTCTACTAGCAGCACAACTCTCACTACAACCACAAATCCATTCGCACCGCGAATGCAACAAGGCGGTACGCCGTTCGGAAACATACAGACTCAATCTGCTATCGGCCTCTCCTCTCCATTCGGAAAATCGCCGTTTAACACAACTGCCAACACTGTCATCGACGATACTGTTTACAGCGTGGAAGGTGCATTAACGGATGACGAAAAAAGCATGTATTTGGCTGAGAAATTTATTATCGGTAAAATACCACTCAAACCTCCTACCAAAGATATAAGGTAATTCCATTCAGAGATTTATATAGCAATACGTATAAAGCATGTGCTGTGATAAGGACGAGTTTCTATTGCTTGTAAAATATCCAAATTTTTCTACGACTCAATGTACATAAAATTAGATTTTTAGTACAAATCCGTAGTCAGGCAACTAAAAGCTTTTAGCTTGACGTTAATTTGACGGTTTCGAATGTTTTACAATTCGAAGAATAATTTGAAAAATTAATGTGACAACATAAATCCAATTGACATAATCCATATTGATGTGTAAAAGTGATTTTGGTTTAAAAACTGCGGTTCAATATGTATATATATTTCTTTTGTACTAAAATCTTTTGATTTATTGAAATAAAATCATTGTTGTTAATTCGACAGTCCATTATGTTTGACAATTATAAATAATCAACACTAATTAAATATACAATTTTGAATGAATAATACACATTATTTACATGACATGTTAAATAATACACATTATTTAATGACTAATACACATTATATACATTATGTACAAATGACAATTGATCGTATCACAAATTATGAATCTGTTGATAGATTTTTATAATAGATTATTCCGTGTGTATATGTATGTGTGTGCTGAAAAATAGAGGCAAAAAAGAGAACGGAAAGTAGTGGAACGTTATTAGTGAATCGCGTACTTTCTGATACCTACAAATAACATATATACATACTATTCTTTATAAACGCTCACACGCATAATCGGATCATTATTATGTGTAAAAACTCTATAAACATGGCTGTGGCAAGTGACACAGAGAGTTTGACGGATAATTAGTTCGTTGCGTATAGCTCGCAGTCTGATTTGATGCAGTCTGCGATAGGCCGGATGGTATACCATTCGAAGGTTTATATCCGGTGACCTGAAAAAAAGATTTAAAGAACAATAAAGATCTTGCCAATGCCAATGGAACATGGACAACATACGATTCGACAGCTTTTATCGGACGAGATTATACCTTATCATTCATTTCAGGAAATATCGTGGTTAAATTGAAATTGGTGAGACTGGTGCCGCCGGAGGGATGATGCGGCATAGCCATCGGATTGCTCGAGACGATTCCTCCGCGTACCATGTTGGAGTTCATCGAGAAACTAGTTGCTCCCACGGCCGCGGCACCCTGAGCACTCATTGCTGATGGCGGGGGTGGTGGAAGACCGTTGACAGTCTTAGCATATACGTTTGTTTGCGGATGATTCTGATAAAGGGGATTGGCGTGGGGCGGTGGTGGAGGTGGCGGCGGCAAAAACGTTGCCGAGTGATGATGATAATCCTCCAGCGGAGAATTAATGCCGGACAATGGAAATTCCGCAAGATTCTGCATCGGACCAGCCTCCAGACCGCTCTTTCGTTTGCCCTTTTTCGCGGCTGTGGAATACGAACGTTTGTCGCAATTGGGATGTTTTCCGTAGTGCTGATGAGTCTTCCCGTTAGCATTCGCCGTGGTGGAGATTGTGTTGGCACTGGACGTATTTGCGGTGCTAGATGAGCTCGTTCCTCCCATGTTTGGCAACAGGAAGCTGTTAGCCTCTTGCACAGTGTAATCGGCGGTGTTCTCGTGCAACTGCATGCCCATATAACTGTTAGATGTGTTGGTGGAGATGCTGGTGATAAAGTTACCGGTGGGATATATAGAGTTGGCGGAATTGGATGAATACGCGTACGTGTTAAAGTTTTGATTGACCACTGATTGACCGTAACCGGCTGCGGTGCCATCGTCCGGCGGTGGCGCACTCGAAAAATAATTGATCGGCATTACCGTAGCATCCACGGCAGCGGCGGCAGACAGACCATTCTGGAATTTATTCTGCGGATAGTTGGTCGTAAACTTGATCGACGCGTGCTTGTCCTGATGATGACTACCAGCATCATGAACGCTGGTTCCGATCAGCGCTTCCGCGGTATAATTGCTCTTACAGTTTCGGCTTCTCCAATGAACGTTATTCTGCTGATATTTTTGCTGTTGTTGCGGTTGTTGGTAATTCTGTTCTGTAAACACAGGTCCAGAAGATTTTTGTTCCTCGTGCCTCTGATGCAAGTTGTCGTTGGTCGTAGTAGACTTGCGAATATCCATTTGTCGTTTACTGGTCGTTCTCGGACTCGTGTTGCTCTTCCTCTGATGTTTCCTAGCCTGCTGCTGTTGTTGCTGCTGCGAATGCGAATGCTGATGCGGATGGTGATGCTGATGATGCTGCTGATGACTCTGCTGCTGATGACTCTTCTCTGCCTTTTCATGCTCTACCAGTTGACTCACAGATAAAAAGGTGGAAGCCGAGTGCTGCGCGTTTTGAGTATTCAGTATCGCATGCAAATCCCGCCCCGACACATTGTTCGCCTCTTTTTCCTTTGCGGACGCGTCCTTATTCTGCTCCGTCGAGATCCTCGACGAAGGAGTCGCGGTGGCGAACAAAAAATTCTGCTTCTCCGTCAGATTGGCGCTCAAATCGAGATCACTCACCAAAGATTGCAGACTTGATGGTACAATATGTTGATCGATACACTTGATCGATGACTGGCCAATCACATGCTCGACGCTATTGTGCACGCTATTTTTCGTCGGCGACCACGGAAATGGTTGCTCCTCCGAATAAAATGTTTCCGCGGATCTCTTCGGATCACTTTGCAGAACCGGCAGATTCGGGAAGCTATGAGCGGTGGCTGCATCGTAATTATTATAGAACTGATTCGGAGTGCCTTGATTGTACGCAGGTGTTTGGGTAAACAAATTGTTTTGACAGAATTCCAACTCCTTGCCGATCGGTGGTAAAATAATATCGGCAATGTTCGCAGAGTTGTGTTTTACCTCTGGCGTCATCATCCAGTTGACCGGCGCCTTGACCGCGTGCTGTGGATGCTGATTACTCTTGGACTTGTTACTATTGCCGCTATTGTTGTTACCGTGCGATTGTTGTTGTTGTTGTTGTTGTTGCTGCTGCTGCTGGCTATGCTTCACGTCACTGCTATTGTAACTGCCGTTGTCATGTGGCAAAACAGAAATCTGTCCTTGGGCAAGAGCCTGATACTTGTGCTGACCCGGCTGTTGCGTCGTTTTCTCTGCGTATTTAAAATTCGCGCCAGTGTAAGCCTCGATTGAATACTTCATCTGTACATTACTCTCCGCCAAATCAAAATTATGCGGTTCGTAAGTGTAAACTATTTTCTCCTGCTTGGATGACAGATTCTGATGATTTTTCGGACCATGTTGCTGAGATTGCTGACCCATGGCAGTGCTATACTCGTTCTGCATATTGTAGTCCGAGTCCATGCTGTACTTGTTCTTGCTTTTACCGTCGGAAAATTTATAATCGTTGCCAGTTTGCTGACTCTGCATCCTATTCGGTTGCTTTGACGGGTCGTTTCTGGTTTTCGAAGTATCGACAAAAGGCTGTTTCTGTGGCTCAATCTTTCCTTGTCGCAACTTATCGATTCCAGTTGACACGGTTGGATAATCGTCGCTAATCAATACTTGGTTGGGGAAGTTCGTGTTCTCCTTGTGTAACGGTATGTAATTGTAACTCTCACAGATGGTTTTCGCCTCGGTATTATCGTTCGGATGCTGTACTTGCTCAAAGTGCATCAAATTATTATTGTTGTTGTTGTTACCGCTGCCACCGCCGCTGCCGCTGACTGGTGAAAACGTCGTCCATGAGAGAATGCTAAAGTTGGACGAATTATGAGCAACGGTAGTAGTGGACTTGGCATGATTTTCCGTCATCGTACTCTGCTCATAATTGGACGACTGTTGCGAATAGCGTGGAACGACGTTTTGCTGCATAGCCGTTAACTTGTTGCTGTTGGCCATGGTATTTGTCGAAACAACAGCGTTCGTCTTCTTGTTATCTTTACTGTTGGTATAAGAGACATAATTATTGTGCGTATTGTCGGTATTTAAAACATTCGTTCGATCGCTCGAATTACTCATAGTCTCCTTAACATTGTACTGGAACGACTGGACAAACGAATCTACGTCCACTTTCTTCGCGGGAACATAAGTCGAGTCGCGTATGTGATTGTGCCGCTGCTGTTGCTCCTGAGACTTGGAGCTAAGCACGCCATTCAGTTTTGTCTTCTGATCCGCCTGATTCGGATTGTCTGATGTCTCCGTGCTCTTGCTCAGCTTGATGTAACTTCGTTGGAATGGATTTTCCTGACTCACAGCTTTCGTGACGTAATCCTGGTTTCGCGATGAAGTGCTCGTAGTCTCGTTTGTCTCGCTATTTGTGTACAATATCGAGTCTTTCTGCGATATCGTTTTCGCTTGTACGTAATCATTATGAGAGCTTGCGATAATATGCTCCTGTTTCTTGTTAACACCAAACGTTTGCTGAGAATTATTCAAATCTAAGAGAACGTGGCTATCTTTGGCCTGATTATACACGGGTTGCATGTCCTGAGAAGAAAAGGTTGGAAGAGAACACTCCTTGGTTGCTGTAGAGTAGTTTGGCAGGCTCTGAGATGTCGCCGGAAGACTTCGATCTATCTGACTGGCGTAATCAACATGGTGATCGGAAACGATCACGCCAGAATCGATAAGCGCGACCTTGCTGTGCGACGGATAGGTAACATGCGACGAACTTTGCGAGTCTTTGTCCTTTCCTTGATCTGAATAATCCACTTGGAAAGATCGCAAAGTTGCGGACGAGGAATTCGTGGTCATTGTCGCACAATCAAGACGAGTATCCAACAGATTCTGGGAGCTATCGGTAGTTTCGATGCGCGAAGCGACCGATGCGGAATTCGGATTTTGCGTTGTCATGATGGCGTTCTTGTACACGGACGAGCTCGGTATATGTTGCGGCGTTCCCAGGCTGTTACTTACCGTCGAATAGTTTGGCAGAAAGTTTGGCGCCCCGGAATACGTCACATCAGGATTATGATTTATTGTTGCTTGTGACACGCAATCCACAACATTGTTCTTGTCCGTAGATGCAGAAATATTCACTTGAGATGCTTGAGATGAGACGACGTTCGCGCTGTTCAGCGTGTTCGCTGTCGTCAGTTGATCCGGGCGATTCTGATTTGCTGCTAAACTCGAAGAGATGCACGAGGAATCCACGGAGAAACTGACCGAGGTGTGAGAAAAAAATGCACTGGTAGTTGTCACAGGTTTCTCCAAATTCGATGTTAGAACAGTCTGAACTATTTTATACGGTTCCCGCAACGTCTCCTCGCTCATCACTTTTGGCAACGCCTTTGTCGTGCACTCCACAGGAGCAATGTCCGTGTTCGTCGAGGCAACTTGCTTTTCTTCGCAAGACGCCTTTAGTCGTTTCTCCGCGATTGCGTGAGATGGTGAGGACGTCTTAAGCTTGAAACTATTTGGCTCTATGGTGCCGATTTGCAATAGCATCGGCGGAGTCTGGCTGTGGTACTTGAAGTCCTCTTTCATCTCTTCGTCCAAGACCTCGGTCTTACCGTTCAGAGACGACACCAACGGGAAAGACATCAAGAACGCCGCTGTAGGCGATATCGATTCCGAATTATGCGAACTAGAAGGAACTTGCAATGATGCAAATATATCATTGGACAAATCCGAATGTAGTCCATCAGTTCTGTTGCTGATTGGTACAAATGTATTCTCACTGCTATACGATAATGATTTTGATATCTCATCCTTCGAAATCTTTGTCAATTTAGTCTCGTCATTAATTACGTTGTTAGATAGCAACGACGATGACGATGACGATGATGATGTTGATGACGATGACGAAGATATCGGTACCGATTCCATGGCATCGACAACATTCGCACCCGCGTCGGATTTCATCGTCGTCGTAGTATTCGTGTCTAAATTTAGGATAATCTTATTGCTATCTGCAGTGCACATTGTGTCACATTGCGTCTGCTGCTCCTCCTTGGCCGTCGTCGCGCGTAAAAGATTGTCAAAACGCTTGCCTAGATTGCACGCCTTCTTTGGCTCATCTGAACCTACAGCCTTCTCCGCGACATCAATGTCCGTTAAGGTTGATTTCGCATTTAAATTCTCCGCGTTTTCGTCATTCTTTTCCGCTATATCGTCTATCGACATATTAAAATTGTTAGACGATTGATCGGCTGCATTCGTCTCATGCAATTCGTTGGGATACTTGTCCGAAACAATAGTCTGTGATGCCACAGTATCCTCGATTGTTTTCTTGTCTCTCTCGAGGCAATTTGTGTCGACGATATTTATCAATTTATCTGTTTTAGACATTTTTTCATGACTCACATCATTCACCACTTGCGTAATGGCGCCATTTGATTCCGTAACACCAGATTCTTTTTCCTTAGTCGTAATCACGTTCTCATCTCGGATATTTTCTCCTATTTTCTCTATAACATACTTCAAACTTTCGATAGATTTGCAAGTGATGGTAAAATCTGACGCTTTCGAAACGATCGATTGGGCGGTATTTACTTCGTCGTTTGTATCCTTCCGCTTTTTGTCCTCCGGTTCACCCGCGGAATCTAATTCTGCAGATAAAGTGCGCTTAAGCGCGGCCTTTCGCACGACGGTTGCGTCCTCCTGAACTTTGACAGCATTTTCTTTCGACGATTTCCTCTCGATATTTTCCTCAGTCGCTTCCAACGTATTCGAAACACTTTTATGGGTCTTGGAGTGATTTTTGCAACTTTTTTTTATTTCCGATTCTTTTTTAATCGCATTATCTTTTGGCTTCTCCAGTTTTTCCTTGTGTATTGCTGGAATAGGCATTTTGTAAGTCATGGTTGTCTTTGTAGTATCCTTACTTTTCGGCAAGATACCTTTATGCCCGCCAATTTTCGTGGCATTGATTATATTCTTTACATTGGACACCGAACTGTGAGAATCGACAACCATATTCGCGTGAATAGCCGGTACAGTGTTCAGAGTAACTTTTTGCACGGTATTTATCAATGCATGATTACATATGGAGACGACGGAATTTTGAACGCGATTTGCTAAAGGCTGCATCACAATCATTTGATTCTGCTGCGTGCTACTAAGGATTATTGGATTAGTTGGCGCTTGTTGCGTATTTACAATGATATTCGATGTCATCGGGGCTACCAAAGGCATCAATTTTCCATCGGAGAAAATGAGAGTATTGGGAGTTAAATTGGTGACAGTGCTGGCTACAGGTGATTTTTTCTTATCTTTACGTTTGCTTTTTTTCTTCAATGCTTTTTGGGATTCAATCTTCTTTTCCACTGAAAAGAAAAAAAGAATCTACATTAATGACTCACAACATTGGTTGAAAGTGTATTAATTGTTTTAGACTTACCAGGTTTCTTCTTTGTATTTATTGTACCTGTAGTGGTGGCTTCATTAATAGAATCTAAATTAGGACATGGAATTGATGTGCTTATTCAATATCAATACAAGGAAAATTTTATGCAACATTACATGAGTGAATAGCAATTATTATTCTGAATCTATCTGTACCATTGTGGCAATGTTCCACCTCCTTCAAGTCACTTTCAGCTATGCTACTTGTACTATCAGAATTATAATTTTTGCTATTGGCACAATTCACCCGATTCTCTTGATTCTCTATCGAATTACAGACATTCTTATCAGCAGTTTCCTCAGACAACTTTTTCGGAACCGATGATGTCACAGATTTTCTTTTAGAAGGCACTTTATTTTCCACAGATTTTTCCTTCTTTTTTGTTTCTACAGTTTTTTCTACAAACATCAACAATAATATATATATATATATATCTAGTTAGAAATTTTCAACTATTACAAAATCTATTATGCAACATACTTACTTTCTTCAATCTTATCAAAATATTTATCTACATCGTCGACATTAAATTTGTTTGACCATTTCAAAGGAGATATTTTTTCAAGAGCTGGTTCAGCTGGTATAGAAATTCCCGCTTCTTTGAGAAGAGTGGACAGTAATTGAGTACGAGACATTAGTTGAGTCACAAACTTTTTCAAACGAACCAATTCTTCCTCTGAAAAATCAAACCGTTACTAAAGAAAAAGAAGAAATTTCAGTACAATGTATATCAAATTACGTACTGTGTGCCTCGCTCGCATGAGTAGAGAATAATTCTTCGGTACGATTATGCAGTTCTTTTATGTATTTTGTAGCATGGATTAGAATGTCGACTTTGTTGAGTTTGCGACCTTCTTGATGCGGCGGTAAAAGATCCGCCAATGTTTTGAAATATGTGTTCATACGATTTCTTCTGTCTCGCTCCCATGTTTTCGCTTTGCTACAAAGAGATTTAAATTTAATAGAAAAGAAATCAATGTGTTATAAAAGCGCGATTTGCGATACGTTCCTTCGGCGTATACAATCGCCATCTGTTTAAAATAAAAGTGTGTTAATTGCAAATAAGTTTTTTCCGAGATGACAAGTTGGAGTAGAAGGCTGAGAGGTTAGACAGTTTACAAATTCAAACTCACGTGTTCTCTTTTCGTGGCATAATTTATCCGCTTGACATCGTTTTATAGAAATAGCTCGCCGCGAAAAATTCTGTTGCGTCACTTGCCCCTGACATTGTGCTCCGATTGTGAAAATTGTCTTCGTATCTCCGACATTTCTCGAGACAAGTAATCTCACGAAACACAAAAACTACGAAACACACAGCTGTGCGTCAATGCGCCATGAATAAAGCCTATCGCACAATGCTAGGCGATAGCGATAGGTGATATCCAATGAGAGCGCTTAACACAATTTCTCTGTCATGCGCATGCGATCGTTTAAAGTAAGATGGCGTATGTATTTCTTTCTCTCTCGCACAATTTTGCCAAAACCCAGAACTATCAAGTTGACTAGACTTTGATTAGAGGGACTCTATCAATCATTAAAAATATCGATGCGACTTATCTTTCTCTTTTCTCTTTTTCCAATAACGTGGACAACACGTACGTCAAAGGGCGCGAAATTGTTCCTTTCCCTAATTTCATTTTGCGTTAATCTATATCATCGTTCTATTCACTTTTGTCCAGAACGCGAATAATTGGAATGAGTATATCATCTTATACGAAAAATGCGAGAGATGTGATCAAACATAGCTGGAAAGAGATATTTTTGGATGTAGATGGGTAAAACTATTTCCGCTCCTAAAAAAAATACTCTCGACCTTTATCGGTGAATCGAGGGGAAATCGAAAATCCGGCAATTTGCGTAAACCACCTTCGGAGATGGCACGAATGACGTGAACTCCCATAAAAAGATGTAGGAGTACGTTTCACGCGCGGATTATTCACGTACCGATGATTAAATTTTCGAAAGAATTTGAACGCTAAAACTTGATTTAAAGATATATATATATATGTGTTTCCTTTTTTAAATGACATTTAAAACGCGGATATTCCTGGCTACGAAATGAACGTAAATATATAAAATGATGCTTTGGGATGCGCAAAAAAATTTACATTGCTTTTAATTTACATTCGTAAAATTAATTTTTCTAATATTAGACAAGTTTATGTAAATAAAATATCGATATTTGCTCTCTCTTTTTTTTCATATATTCCATATCGTGTTATATGATGGCTAAAGGGGGAAGGAGAAAGAAACAACCAAATCGCTATCGCTGATGCCAATTGTGATATCTACAGCCGTGTGAGATCTGCTCTCGTGATTCGTGACTTCACTCTCTGCATTCTCTCTCGTGCAAGAAATTTTTCTTCTTTTTTTCTATCACACCGTCCAAGCAGAAGTTGCATCTGAAAAGAATGAAATGCCGCGCATTCTGTCTTGCGCAGAAGTGATTTTTCGTCGGCGCGGGCGGCGAAGTGAAAAGGGAAGATAGGAAATAATCGGTGCACGCGAGCGTCGCGAGCACGCGTGGTGGGAGTAAAATTGTTCGCGGAGTCGCGGAGATCGGCGGCGAAGGGCTGTCTCGCTCGCGCTCGCTCGAGGAAAACAAGTACATCAAAGTTCACGGAGTAACGGCCCGTTCCCGTACGGTTCTCGCGTAATACAGTCGAGAGAGTGAGATCTCGTAGATTTTCCCCTTGATCAAACCCCCTGCCCCTGCACATTCGTTTAATCGACTGATTTGTGCGCTACACGGCTACACGCGACTTGACATACGCAAGAGAAACTCTGTCGACACGAGAGAAAATGTCGAACGCAGAGATACGCGAATGTAGGTAGGATTCACGAACGCGAATACCCGAAGGGCAATCAATTCTGTGCTATTCTATATTTGCGTATATATATATAAAATATTAGAAAATGTAATTATCGTATAACAATAATTATTACATATATAAAACAAGTTTAATGATTACTTTCCAACTAAATTCTATATATATATATATATATATATATATTGTTCATTGAAACGTCGTCGCCGTTGTATCGTTAGCGATCGCCAGATGAGATCGCGACCGACTTTGGGAATCTCGCGAAGCGTTCCGAGTGATTCGGAGTGAAGTCTGAAGTGAAGCGCGATTTATCGGGGACTTTGAAGTTTGACGACTGGCTGATTGCGGTGCTCGCTGTCAGCTCTGCCGCGTGAAAGGAGAGACAGCCAGAGAGCAAGTCCAGGGAGGGCACACCGAGCGTGCGTATGCTGCAATATCTGGATTGGACTTGGCGAATGGGGACACGGGTATGTTGCTAAAACACGATAAGAAAGAAAAAAAAAAAAAAAAATTCGCGCCCAATTCTTTGTACTATATTTTTGCACCATTTATAATTTCAATCGACCTAATTTCACATTTCTTTACATTTTGTATGTATACGATCGAAGATGAGCCTTGCGTTTAATTGCGATAATAAAATTTATAAACGAGATGCGCAAAGCTTTCTTGTTTATATATATTTTTTTTTTTTTTGCATAATCGTGACGTCGAAACTTGAAACTGTTGCGTTGAAATCTCACTTATGGTATATACATATATATCGATTTATGCGACCATCGCTCGTGCAATCTCGTTTACGCGACTCGCACGTCGCACGCGCTTTCTTTCTCTCTTCCCCCTCCCCCCTCCTTCCAACCACTCCCCCTTGTTCCCTCCTCGCGTTCGAGATTACGCGTTGCGATGACTCCTCAAGCATCCTCAACTCTATCACGTCGAATCGATTTGTCGTAAACATCATCGCGCTATACGGTCACGTTGACCGTGGAAGTATGTAATTCTCGATGTCTGTGTTGTGTTATTAGCAGGTTGACGTATGAATGTAGTCGCAATCACAGGGACACGCGCCTCGTTGGTGAATATTTCGGACAAGATGTCAACGACCACCGATGTCAGTGACTTGGCGGATGTCCCCAAGGAAGGAACGCCAATCTTTTTGCAAACACGCGCGGCCCAAGTCATTGCTGGTATATTCGTGTGGGTGGCGCTTTTTCTCACTTGCCAACAGGTATCTATCATCGATAGAATTCGACAATCTTTCGCAATCATTAGTCTATCAACAGCGATGCTATATCTGTCCTCTCTGTCGTTTATAGATTTATCAGCATCTAAGATGGTACACAAATCCCACCGAGCAGAGATGGATAGTACGAATTCTCTTCATCGTGCCTATCTATGCCATATATTCCTGGGTCTCGCTGTTGTTTTTCAACAGCGAAAGCTATTACGTTTACTTCTTCACGGTGCGAGATTGTTACGAGGCGTTTGTTATATATAACTTTCTGTCGCTGTGCTACGAGTACCTAGGTGGTGAAGGCAACATTATGTCGGAAATCAGAGGCAAACCGATACGTTCCAGTTGTCTCTATGGCACTTGTTGTCTAGTCGGGAAGACATATACCATTGGCTTTCTGAGATTCTGCAAACAAGCCACCTTACAGTTTTGCTTAATTAAACCAGTGATGGCATTTGTCATTATATTTTTGCAAGCCTTTGGCCATTACAGAGATGGAGATTGGTCCCCCGATGGTGGTTACATTTACATCACTATAATTTACAACATCAGTGTATCACTTGCGCTTTATGGGCTGTTTCTATTTTATTTCGCTACAAGAGACCTGCTGACGCCGTTTGAGCCTGTGCTCAAATTTTGTACGGTGAAGAGTGTGATTTTCCTGTCATTCTGGCAAGGTAATGCTATTTAAAAAATCTCACATGTTTCATAAAGAAGAAATTAAACACTTGGGACATATGCATCGAATATAAATAACAATTTTGAAAAATTTTTCTCTACACAGGTGTATTATTAGCCATTTTGGAAAAGGCAAATGTCATTTCGCCCGTTATAAACAGTTTGGGTCAATCAACAAGCGCTGGTACAGTCTCTGCTGGTTACCAAAATTTCCTTATTTGTATCGAAATGTTGTTTGCTGCTATAGCTTTACGCTATGCATTCCCGTATCAAGTATACGCAGCTGGCTGTGTTACTGACTCCAGGGGTAGAAGCGTGACGATGCAAAGTATCAGTAGTAGTTTGAAAGTATGTATAAAATATATTTCTCAATCTTTCGCAGAGATGTAGCTATTTATTAATTTTTTTATAATAAATTGAATATGCTACTCATCAATTTTGTAGGAAACAATGAATCCAAAAGATATTATGACTGATGCCATCCATAATTTCCATCCACAATACCAACAGTATACGCAATATAGCGCCGGTATGTATATTATTTTTATACTATAACTCTTCAATTTCTTTTTTGTGCATTATTGTACATAATTATTTAGTATATGCACTGTATATACATTTGTTTATTTTTATTATATCATATACATTTACAAATTGCCCAGTCTTCGTATAGCATGACATATGTAATAAAAGTTTGACTCGTTTACTTTTAAGTTTTTTTTATCTCATATCAAAGATTACTTTTTCTCGTGCATTTATAAGAAAATTTCAAGTATGAACTGATATTATAAAAGCACAATTACATGATACTGAATGTTCTAATTATAGAGCAAGATTTTTTGATATATAATGCTAATAATGCGATAATTACACGAGATATTTTCGAGATTGCAAACGCTTGAATTACACACGCTTTTGCTTTTGTACATAATTTATATTTCACTTTTATCCGACTCTCTGACACTCTACTGCTGACCGATATGGATACTAATTGGCAAATATTATCCATTTGCATTTATGTATTTTTTTACATAAGCAAGTTTAAAATCACGAATAGTTTAGAATATTCGCTTTCAAAATTGTGTGTCGTTTTACTTAAAGAGACTATATAAGTTTTCCCTATGTGCCAGTTAACTGGACTCAACAATTACTTTGAAGGCACTTTTTGTTTGCTATTTTTCAGACGTTAATACCAACTTGCCGTACGAAAAGCTATGACACATTGAGGCGTCACTTTTTTAATTTCAAGAAATTGGACATCGAGCTTTGCGCGCGACTTTAAATGAGGATCAAAAGATACACGATACAGCATTATACTTTGCTTACGGGATTACACAATCTCTTAAAAATCGGTATCTGTCCAGTGGTTGATTAATGAATTCTCTGTTGAAATTATAAAATAAGGGTTGTACTTAAACTATCGTCGATATATACGTATTACATGCATATATAACTCACTTATTTTACTAGAGATTAACAAAGTCTACTGTAAAGTAGAAATTAAGCGCTTGATATAAGAGCATTTATATATAAGAAAAAGAAGAGATGAAAACAAAAAAGAGAGGAAGAGAAATGTTGTACTTTTATAGTGTTGCTCTATAATAAATGTAAAAGATAATTATTTATTGGTTGATGTATAGTTCTCTTTTTCTTCCTTTTTTTTTTTTTTTTTTTTTTTTTTTTTTTTTTTTTTTTTTTTTTTTTTTTTGGTAACTAACTTTCTGTCATAACTTTGATATTAATTTTATTGCTTTTATTTTATATTTCTATCACATGGTACATGTAGCACGCGAATGTACAATGTGAAGCGATCGAGCATGCAAGCACGTTATTGTATCCTCTTCCCAAAGTATGTACACCTATAGTGACAAAGTTATCACAATCCTAGCTGCCTGCGGTTATTTTATTTCTTATTTCAATAATTTGCATGTTTTGTTTATATTGCGATTTTATCACATTAATATATCCTTTTTTGCACTCATCGCGTGTAAGAAAGAAGTCAAACTCTGTTACTCTGATGAAGCCTTTCGAGCAGCTTCTCCTCGCTATACGTTGTCGATGCAATTTGTATTTGCGCTATTTAAATTTTCTCGTACGCTAATCACTGATATTTTTGCGTAGAAACATTGGCATAGTTTTAGAGTTTTAAATTGTATATTACGCGATAGGAATGTTACAATCCTTTTACGTTTATTCGCGAATAAATAAAATCACGTATTACATAGAAGATTAACTTCATCAGGGAATTATGCCGGTTTCGATTCTTGATTTCGCGAGTATAGAGCAAGAACGTTCGAAATATGTAAATGTGACATTTCAGCGAGAATACCGTCCGCTAGATTTTGTCATAATTTGACTGTCGCTGTTAAAATAAAAAGAGAAAAGTATACGGCATTTTGCGTTCACGTGTGACCCCAATTGGCCACTTTCAGCTCATTATCGGTTTCTTCGAAATCGACGCATATTTTATATATTTCCCAATTATGTAATGTATAATATGATGAATTAGGAGGCCCGAAAGGACAACGTGGTATGCGAGTATCCAGCTTCGATCCGGACGATCCGCAAAACATGCCGGTACCACCGCCGCAAAGGCGAAACACCTCTCATCAGCGCGTCGCCACAATTTCGCAAAACTATAACGAGAAAACAATGTTGCTGAGCAGCGACGATGAATTTCAATAAGGCATATGTGATTTCAATTCGACTCTTGTACCGATCAACGTTGCATTACCGTGCGCGGAACTTCCATAAACTTTTAGAGATTTGCTTTTGGAGGAGAAGAGAAAAGAGGATATGCTTTAAGCGAAGCGTATTTAATTAAATAATAACATAACGTTCATAGAAAACAGACGGGCCGAAATTTAAAAAAAAAGGAGGGAAGAAAAGGAAAAAAAAAAGAACGAAAATCGCGTAGGATGTAAGAACGTATTACGCCGCACACTGTAATAGTTCCATAATGTTACATCCATGTTAATATATGTATTATGTTATAACATATATGAGTAAATGGTATATAGAAGATATTTATTTTACTATGCTGAGATGTATTTGAGGCAATGTGTTATCTATATACCTGTGGCTCTATACTATGACACTGTAAAGGATATTAACTGCACGATAAAACTTACACATCTTGCGGATAAGCAAATGTAATTGTGTATAGTACTTAATTTTATGCGAAATCACACGTTCTTCGATTATAATTGTTCATGATACATCTATGTATAAATGTCGACGCTTCTTTACACTTTTGTATCTTTTTTTTATTTATGTATTGCATTTTGCGAATTTAGACTTTTTTGCAATCTCGTATTTGTATAAAAGCCTCGAGCCACACAAAAGCGTCTTTGCGTCCTTGTCTCAAGTCCTGCAAAATTATTCCTTCTTTGATCTTGCGAAAAAAAATTCTCGTACGTGTATATATTATTAAAATAGATTATATCTGAAAATGCAAAAGTTGACGAGTTTTCTTTTAATGTAAGCCTTTCGATATATATATATAAAAAAAAAAAAAGAGATAATAACATATATGCAAGAGAAAGTGCAAAGACAATTAACGGGTATTGTATCGAACATGAATAAACATTTGGTATTTGGTATCTTATATGTGTACACAAATTGTGTATAATTCTTATATTTTTTTTAAAGAAATATAACAAACGATCAAAGTTAAGGAGCAAAGATCTATTTTATACGACCGAGCACACTGTATCGAAAAGATTTCGTCGCCGTTTAAAATGAAAAGAAAGAGAGAACAAGTAAACCTGTGAACAAATTTTATTGTCCTATTACATCTCGTAATAAAGATAAGAGACAACTATATGAATAGAATATTATTTATTTACAAGTAACACATTTGTTAATAATAATACCTCACTTGTAGAAAATATACATATATAGATAT